GGGGGGTCAAGAGTGCTGTTGACAGAAAAAAGACGAACTTTGTTGATTTTTTTAATAGTGAACTCTCTTTTCGTTTATTGTTTACAGTTCTGACACTGTTTACTGGTGTGTTGAATTGCTGGGGGCAGACATTACAGTTTCTTGTCAAAGAGAATCTTGTTCAGTGACCGAGGATGTTTGTGTTCGTGTCCACATGTATTCTTGTCTATAGCTTTGATAGTGTGCCTATCCCGCCTGAGGTAGATGTTTTGTCTATTATGCATGACTTTCATTTAGTACCCTCAACAGCTTAAGTGGGCAATTGTTAGCAAAGTTGAAGCAACCCTCTTCGTAAAGGATCTAGAACATGTTAATGAGACATGCAGTATGTTTAGTCAGAACTTAGGTCTGTCCGACTTAAATGTACACGTAGACCTGTAAAAATCGCAATGCTCGGAAACAGGAGATGTTAACCTATTCAGAACTATTCTAGGGGTTTTATATTGTTATCAATGTCTATTTTCTTCCCTTTGTTACGAAATACATCAGTACAACTCGCATTATTACACTATAAACACACACACACACACACACACACACACACACACACACACACACACACACATCAAGTTATTAGGCATGACTGTCTTTTCGGATTAGCTATTTTTAGCATGTTTCTGTTATTTCCAAAACAGTATTCCAAGGATGATTGCCGAGGCAACAGCCAATCATAGAGCCACAATTTGCTGCAGCTGTGACGTTATGGGTTGTGAGTATATCCTTTTCATGAACATCCCTGCTCGGATGAAAGTTAATACAGTATATTTGTAACACCTGTATCCATAGATCTAGTTATTGATTATAGATGCTGTGTCGGGGGGTTAATTTCAGAATTGGTTAGATATTAATACAATAAATAATAAGGTTGTAGTCACATACGGGTATCTTTTGTGTATGAATAACTCAGTAACAATAGCTCAGTAACAACAACTCCGCGCTGTTGTGTAACATATTTCCCCAATGAGACTATGGAACCAGTCAGTCTGGAAGAGTTTATTTACCATATTATTTACGACACACTGTCTTTGTAAATGTAGGGCGAAAACATTCCCATCACAAAAATACTTCTGGTTCTTTTCTTGGTATATTATGTGATAAGATAAAGGAGCATAATGGGACTACAAATAACTTTAGCCCATACGCTCTTTCTGAGAGACTAATGACTTTGTATATTTTCAAACATATAAGTTTGCCCTATAAAAATTCGTGAGTTTTAACCAAATCAGCTCCACTCAAATGAACTCTGGCTAATTTCTCATAATGCTTTTGACAGATTCTCAAAACCACATTAAAAAAACAGAAAACCTCGATATTTGCGTACATTATTTTCTATAGAAACCTTAACCCTGCTGCTTCTCTCCGGCAGAGTATTTGAGAAACTTGGTGAGGGTCTTTTCTGTTTGTTTGTTTGTTTGTTTTTCTTGTTTTTTTTTTTTTTACGTACAGTCATCTACGTGCAACATATTAATCGATGCCTGTTTGATAAAAACCAGCTTGGTTTTTACTCAACTTATGCATTGATTAAATGAAAGAGCTCTTAAATGACACAATTTTTATAAAAGTATAAACAAAGATAAGTAGAGATAAACATTTTATTGATTGCCACATAGGGAAATTTGCTGCGACATAGCAAATACACATACGCACACTTTCCCGTGTT